AATGTAGTAGGAAGTTGACGCAAAATCCTCCCCCCCCCCCGGGCAGGACAGTTTTACATGAGCCTTATAGCCCAGTAGTGTGATGGAGGCCTTCATAGAGAACAGATGAATATACAGAACTGTTGGATTTGTTTACTGTATGTACTGTATGTGTGATAGAAATTAATAGCTGTATTAATGCAACATATCAGTAGACCCTGCACCTGCTAGGATGACAATGATTTGTATTAAGCCTGATTATTTTCAAACCCTTGATTGGGTTTTGTGTACATGGAAAGCTGCACAAATCCAGTCCATTTGGTTAATCTGTGATTCAGACTATCTTGAACTAAAAAAACTTCAGTCACTTGATAAATGTATTGTATGAATGATCTAACACAGCTATCCTTATGATGCTATTTTCTCTAAAAAATTTGTTCTTGTGCCTTTGGAAGGGACATACGTACTATGACTATTTCACTACTGCTGTTCACCAGCAGAGATAGAAAGATGGAAGAAAATACATTTGTTTCTTTTCTTCAAATTAGGCAGATTGGAAAGGAGCTAAAATTTATTAGAAAAGATATGCTAGCCTGAAATGGATTCGGTTTAGAAAGTGAGTATGCAATTCTGCCAAATTCTCCCCAACCATAGCTGTACTTATATAAAAATTGACGTGATTCTTTTAGCTTTTGCTCTCTGGTTGTTAAGCACCTGGTGTTTTGCTAAAGATTGGCCATCTGATTTTATATTCAGCATACTGGGAGAAATTGTGTGCCATAATGATTCTACATATCACCCACAACCTTGTAAAGCAGCCTTTTAAAGTTGGAACTAAAATTGGGGGGACTTGAGAAAAGCTGATTAGTTTATTTAATCCTGTGACTCTTCCTCCATCCCATTTTAAGACTCAGCTCCTGGCTTCATCCAATCAGCTTTCCTCCTCTCCACCACCCCCCCTTTATTATTTTTTTCTGTGGGAGAAGTGGGGGGGGGACCCTTAACAGATGAAACATCTCAAAATGTTCTAAGATTGGTCCTAATAAGATCATTATCTGACTGTGACTTCAATTCTTTTAATAATCATTTCCACGGTGAGATAAAGAAGAATAGTTAAATGCTCACACACTTTAGTTTTAGTTTCATCACATTCGATAGAAAGGTGTGTGTTTGATCACATGCTGGTGTGTTGTCTGATAATATTTAAAGTGGGAAATCTCAAACTTTGTATTTCCTGAAAGATGACTGAATCTTTGTGATTCTTCATGAGTCAAAGTCATGGTATCACTAGAGTTAGGCTTGGATAAGAAATGAATATTACATTTTAATCATTACACTTTTACAATATGTATGTTAAAGACCAGCATCCCAAAAATTCCACCAAGTCAGACACCTCCAGGAGAAAAGAGGAAAAGAGGCCGGCCTTAGAAAACTTGGCATCAAACACTTAAGGAAGAGCCTTGACATCATTAATGTCCCTTGGAATGATGCTGAAGATGTGAATAATCAAAACAGCTGGAAAGCACTTGCTGCCCATTTTGCTCTGCACAGGGCCTAAGGATAATGATAAATAATTACATTTTAACCTATATCGCTGGTATTTCACTAACTGCCCAGAGTCACTGGAGGTCAGTGGCATTTACATTTATTATTGTTGGTCACATTACAGTTAGCTGGCTGTTTTAGACTGGATTTGGCATTTTTATCCACCTATCCTACACAATGACTAAGCAGATATTGCTGCATATATTGTTGCAGGATGTAAATTATTCCAAGTAAAACTGCCTTTTGCAATTGATTCCTGATGGTTTTGTTAATACCAATGGTGTTCAAATGGTGCTCCAGATATTTTGGGATTGTACCTAAGACACCTAATTATTGAAACTGTTTTTGCTTTGTTTTGCCACAGTGGTTTTACTTCTATTTGCAGGTTTTTGTATTTTGTAATTTTCTCCAATCCATTTTCTTCTATTCTGTCTCCAGGTATTGCCATGTCCACTATCCAGATTTTCTTGTGTTTCTTATTGATAGTTATTAAGTCTGAGGTGTGATGTAGCAGTGCTTTCTGTTTGAATTGTAAAGTCCCAGAGTACTTTAGCTTCTTCATATTCTATTACTTTATGGTCCCACCATTTCTTGCTTGCAGACAAGTGATATTTTTTGCAGATATTCCAATGTACCATTGATGCTACTTTATCTTGCCATTGTTTGCAGTCACTCTGTGAAATCTTCTTGCAGCAGCTAATTAGATGTACACTATTCAGTTTCTTTTACAGCATTTGTTTTCATTTGTTGTCGTCTCAATTCTGGCTTTGAATGCATTAATTCTTAAGGTTTGATCTTGTGTAGCCAGAATTAGCCCCTCTGTCTCTTTCTTCAGCTTTCTTGTTCTTAGCCATTGCCAGGTCTTGTTATCTGCTTTGCCTGTTAGTTTTTCTATGTACTGGCCATGTAATACTTTGCCTTGCCATATTTGTAATATTTCTATATTATTCTTCATTTTGTCTTTCTTGTAGATCAAATGTTTGGTCTTTCCTCTGTTCATAAGCCTTCATGGTACCCTAGTTTCAGTGCATCATCTTCACTTTTCTTCAGATATTCTTCCAATGCCCTTTTTTTCTTCTTCAACTGTTTTCTGTATTTGCAAGATTCCATGCCCACCTATTCTCCTTGCTAAGTAGAATCTGTCAACGTTGCTTCATGGATGAAGGGCATGATTCATTGTCATTATTTTTCTGGTTTTACTATCCAGAACCTTTAGTTCTGCTTGAGTCCAGTCCATTATTCCAGCTCTCTAGCTAATGATTGAAATTGTCCAGGGTTGATAGTATTTCTTTTACTGAGTTTGAACTTTAGGATCTTTTTTAGTCCCATGATGTATTCACTTCTAAACTTCTTCACAACTTCAGTCAGCTGGATGTTCTTAGATTGAAGAATGCCCAGGTATTTAATGGTCTTCCTCCAAACTCTTGACGTTATTTCCATATAGTATCTTGATTCCTTCAGTTTTCACTATTTTTACCCTATTGATAGTAAAACAGGCACATTTGTCCAGTTCAAACTCCACTGCAATATCTTGGCTGTATATACAGACAGGGTTGAGCAATAGCAATTCTATTTCAGATGATATTTTTTCTTTAGATCATGCGTGTAAAGGGTGTTTAATAGCCGTACCTTCAGTATTGTTGAAAGAGGAATCAGTGCAATGACAAACAAAAGTGATGATAGTGAGCTTCCTTGAAAGATTCCTCTCTTGATATTAATCTCTCCTAGTCTATCATCATTAAACAGCAACTGTTCTTTCCATTCTGCCATCAATCTTTGCACAAAACTTCTGATGTTTCTTCTGACTCCTATCCCAAAGGTGTTTTTTTCAAGAGGCAACTAAACTTCCTGTTTTTTCTTTGAAGATGTTTTGCTTCTCATCCAAAAAACCTCTTCAGCTCTTCCATTCCCCACCATCCAATCAGAGCTGAAGAAGATTCTTGGATGAGAAGCAAAACCATCTTCAAAGAAAAAACAGAAAGTCCAGTTGCTTTTGGAAAAAGCACCTTTGGGACAACTGTAAGCTGGATGACTGAGAGACTTCATAATTACTGACTCTTATTATTTCTGGGTACTTAATCGTCCAGTCATGTAGCAGAGAATTGAATGTCTTTTTGTAATCAATCCAGGCTACATTTAGGTTGGTTTTCCTTCTCTTGCAGTTTTCCAAAATAATCTAGTCCAGGGCTGTCAGACTTGCGGCCCATGGGCCAGATGTGTCATGCACTAGCACGCCCACACTCAATTTAGCAACGTCATGTGACACTGCCATGATGACGCAAGTCTGACACCTCTGATCTAGTTAATTAAGATTTGATAATTTGTTTGTTTGCTGTTCAGGCAGTTTCCCTTCTGCTCAGGTAAAAGAGATTGTATTAGATGCTGTTGGACTATATCAGCCTCCAAGCAATTAGCAATTTGAAAGTTGTTAGTAAGCAGGTACTTAGCCTGTAGTTGCCTGGTGCTGCCCCTTTTATTGGTTCTTTTATTATCAGGTAGCTTTTGCCAGATGTTAACCAATCTTCAATTTCACCTCCTTGCAGTATGTTGTTAAATTGCTTGACATTGTTATTATCATTATTATTACAACCCATTATGGCTTGCTTAAGCTGTAAGAAATGAAGTAAGGAGCAAATTTGACAGCTATCACACTTTACTTAAGTCTTTTTTTAAAGAAAAATTGCTCCTTTTCACAGGTCACATCTGGATAATCTTCAGGCAGTTAATGAGTGCTTCTACTGAGGCATTTGCCCTCTCCTAGCCTGACCCCTCAATCAGATTGAAAGTTAAGGAATGATGAAGCTACAGTTTGTAAGGTGTAAATAAGGCACTTCTCTTGACATCATTCCTAGGTGATATTTATAGCACCAACAGGGTGAGGATTAAGTGATATTAGCACAGGGCTTTGTGATTTACTTTCTTCCTAGATAATATAATCCAAGACTTTACAAATAGATAGAGGAGCCATCAGTGCATGTTACAGTAATAATGGAAGATTCTAGGATGCTTTTATGGTGAAGTGATTTGACATTTACTATTGGTTACAGAGGTGTGCTGCAGTTGCCACTGATAAAAACAAATGTTTTAGCTATCTCTGTATTGGCTTTGTATGTGTCTCCTCTGGAGAAATCTTTCTCCTTCTGACACTTGATACTCATAGTGGTTTATAGTCCAGGAATAAAATTGTTTTATACCACATCCTGGATATTTGATTTTCAAGGTTCTCCCCCCCACCTTCCTCCATCTATCTCTTTCCTCCCCTCATTTGTTTCAGTAAGTAAGCCTCCTAGTATGATGTATAGCAACAAAGAAGGCTGAATGATTGCACTGAGACAGGCATATGTGGGAGGAGATGCAGCTATTTCACCCACCACTACCACTTCATTTCTGGTTTTAGAGCTATGAATGCCTGATTGCAACCTGGCAACCCTCTTGATCGCGTCAGCCATTGAAGAGGATCTTCTCAAAGAAAAGTAGCAGAGCCACAACCTCTGAGAATCCAACTAGAATTGTAGCTAAAGAATATAGTGAAGGGAACACTCAAGTATGAACTCTGAATGCATTCACTTATTTTTCTTCAGTTCCAGGGAGGCGTTTGGTCTTTGGGCCCAGTCCTATGCGATGCCTTGATGACCATGGATGTCATGCTGTGCACTGCCTCCATTTTCAATCTCTGTGCTATCAGCGTGGATCGGTAAGAAACTCTGCTCATTATGGCTTTTAGATGCTAAGTTTCCCAACTTTTTCAGTTCTAACACATATTATACATACCAGTGGTAGGTTGCAGGCGGTACGCCCTGGTACCGGAATATCGGAGCCTGCCTGGAGTACAGGGTACCATTCCAGTACGGTGCTCCGGAGGGCCCACCTGCCTGCCTGAGCTCCTTACCTGTCCTTTAAAGCCTTTGGCACTTCCGTGCACATGCATGGCATGTACAGTGCCTGCGCGATGCTCCACCGATCAGCTGGAGCATCGTGGAGGCTTGCGGAAGCATTGCTGGCAGGTACGATGAATGTGCATGCCATGCGCGTGTGCTGTGCACGTCCATGTGGGTGACGTCGGGCCTGTTCCAACTGTACCAGTTGGAACGGGATCTGGAACTCACCACTGATGCATACAGACACAAACACACAAACATACACACACAAAAACACACATTTATTTAATCAGCTTTTTAGCTACCTCAGCCACTGAAGCAACTCTAGGAGGGTTCTGAAAAATTGAGGAAACGTAAGTTTAATGCAGTCATCCATAAAGACTGTGAGTTTCTCATTTGTATCTCATTCAGCATCTATTAGTAGGTGTGGATAGTCAATCAGTATCCATGCTGTGAAAATTTACTACGTATTTGTTTTGTACATTCTGGCTTTAGAATGTACAAAAATGCATTGATTTCTCCAATCAACATACATATTTTTTCCAATTTTCTTTACTAGTTAATATATCTGAACATCAATTTCTCTAGCAGGTGTATGTGATATTGTAAAGTGAATTGTAACATTCAAACTTTGCAGACTGAAGAATATCTTTGTTCTAATAACTCAATTTTGGCTATAATATGTAATTTAGGTCTATTGACTGAAAATGTAGAGAGAACAGAGAGAACAATGATCTTCCATAAAACTCCCACTTCTTTATAAAGGCAAGTCCATAAAGCAATATTCTATTCCGGAAAGGCAAAATTCAGACATGATCAACACCAGAGATGGGTTCCTTTCGGTTTGGATCGGTTCGGTTGAACTGGTAGTAACTTGGTGGTCTGGGTCACTGGAACCAGCAGCGACCCAGGCCTGCCACATCCCCAAACCGGTTCTCCTATGGTGCTGCCATCTTGATTTTTGGTTCTGCGCATGCGCAGAACAATTTTCATTGAAGAAATGTAATTTCCCCCCTTTTTTTATGTTTTGCGCATATGCAGACCTTTTTAGGTGCAAATGCGCACACACGCAGAACGCACACACGAAATATTTTACACGTCGAACCGGCAGTAATGTCAGCAGCAACCCACCTCTGATCAACATCCTTCTCACTAACAGAAGCTGAAGAACTAATTCTTCCAATAATTGCATTTGGGATTTTCTTATTGGAAAGAACTAAGAGCCTACCAAATAAAGGCAAGAAGGAACTTGAGAAACTCTAGGAAACAAAGGTGGTTTATTGTCTATACGTTGCTTCTGACTATTTTGCTAGGCTCCCCACCCACTTTTTCCCATTGTCCAGCTAATTGGACAAAGCTGCTTCTAGTCCAAGAAAATCTGAACATCACTTCTAATGTTTTCTTATTGTCACCGTTAGGCAAAGAAGGGGGAAAGTGTTTTTCCCCCTTTGAGCTATGGACGGTAGCTGAAAGAATAGAATATAAACTTACCCATACCGACCAAAGACCATTGTAGTCATTACTGTCAAAGATGGTTGCTTTCAAATAATTTTTCAATTAAAATGAATTAAAACTAAGAAAGCAATAGCAATAGCAGTTAGACTTATATACCGCTTCATAGGGCTTTCAGCCCTCTCTAAGCGGTTTACAGAGTCAGCATATTGCCTCCAACAACAATCCGAGTCCTCATTTTACCCACTGTTGTCATATAACTCCTTGTGTAGGTGTGGCGGTCACCCATGGCCCAGTGCATAACAGGGCATGCGCAGCCAC